TATGCTTCTTTGATGAAAATGATGGAAAGGATAATCGCAGGAATATGATGTGTATTGTCCCTGTGGCCCCCAATACACGCTGGGATTGCCAGAGAAGTGTTTGTTGACATATGACCTTGGCTCACAGACCTCGGGACGTATCATCAGTAAGACATCAAGGTCCTCCAGGGTTCTTACTTTGGGTCCACCTTTTTAATAGAATAATCCCACCAGCTGGCTGAAATCCAGAGGTTAATACCACCCAACACACACACAATCATTTTTAGCTTTGGGGTTGCCTGACATACTGATTCAAATGGAACAGTTCTAATTTTCAAGCATTTGAAACAACCAGACAGTGAAGCTCCCAGAACAAGACTGGATTTAAGATTTGATTGTCAAAAAATAAAACTGAAAAGTGAACACTGTGTAATTTTGTCACCTTTGTAGGCAAGATACATCCCAATTTCAGACAGAAACTATCTCACTCATACTTTATGCACACGCTGTGTTTGTTTATGTTTAAGTTAAGAATCGCATCCTCAGATGAAACCACATTTATAAACATAATAGACAGTTTGCAGTGATTGTGAAACCAAGGACAGGTTTCTCTTCTATCTTTGTTTACTGTCTGCCTTTAGAAATAATTTCACTCCCAGGATCTGGAGATTAATGTGGTTGAGTAGGGCTTGAGCACAACAAGTCTAAGGATTTTTTTGTAATGTCATTCTAGTTTTAATTTGTTTCTTTCATCCTCGGTCTGTTTCTGTGATGTCATTTCCCAGCACCTGACCTCTTTTGAGCTTTATTTATCTATCTGTGTGAATTGGAAAGCAGAAAGGGAGGCCAGCTGTAGAATATGTGGAGGAATCCAGGGATATGAGCGTAAGATTGTGTCTCACTGAGCTAGAATGGAGGCTAGAATTGGGGAAAACAGGTGCTGGATGAAAGATGAGAGACCTGAGAGCAAAGTGACAGTCTGGTTGGAGCCAGAATTGATGCTTGACAGCAACAGAATAGACATTTTCAGGGAGTGGGAAGGCCATTTCCCCGTCATCCTTTCTAAATTCAAATATGGATATGTGACATAAATACTGTGAAATTTAAATTCAAACTGTGACTGAAAAGGCTGTTATGTCTTTCCATCCAGAGTAATCTACACTAACAATTTTCAGTACTTCCTAAAGCACAAATTGTCATGATCCTGTCTGTGTGTCTTGTTTGGGAGTCTGAGTTTAGTTCCATGTCCTTAGTTCATGTTTTGGTATTCATTCCTGGTCCTTGTTTATATTATTGTGATTTGGTCTCCTGTGTACCTCTGTGTTCTAGTTCCGTGTTCTCGTTTAGGTTCTGGCTCTTTGTAACTTGTGTGTGTTTCTGTCTTCTTGGTTATTCACTCTGCCCCATGTCTGCGTGTCTAGTGTTCTCTCTGTTTCCCCCTGCTGTCTCTCTGCCTGCCTGCTTGTCTCTCTGTCTCTGCCTCGTTAGCCCTGATCCCGCTCACCTGTGTTGCTCCCGCCCCGCTCGCTAGTCCCTGTGTATATTTATGCCTGCTTGTCTCTTCAGTCTTTGTCATGTCCTTGCGTCTAAAGTTGAGTGTTCCTGCCTGTTCCTTTGTCTTCCTTGTTCTGGATTATTCCCTGTGTTTTGGATTGCCTTGTGTTCTGGACTACCTTTGTTGGACTTTGCCTCAAGCTCCTTGTAAGCCTGTTTAAGTTAGTTTTTTGAACTAATAAACATTTTTGAACTGCAACCGCCTTGCCATTGTCTGCATTTGGGTCCTCGCCCAGTCTGCACTCAGCGCCCCAATCCGTGACACAAATACATAGATGTCCACAGTTTAATTGCATTTATGACATGAGACATGACATATGCTAAGACTTTTTTAAATGTCCCTGCTGTCATGGGCTAACTGAAAGCAAAGCTGACTGAAAGAGCAACACTGAAAGTTGGACGAGACAACTGTATTTGTATAGACAACCTCATCTACAGGGTGAATCAAAGAGCTTTAGATAAGACATTCAGTTAAATAGAAAAATGGCATAATGACATTAAATGTATAAAATGTCAGACTAAAAGAAAAAGAAATACAAATTAGTAGGGCAGGTTGAAAGCAACCCAAACTTCAACTAAAAGCAAATGCAAAAAGATACATTTTTAGCAATGATTAAAAGTGTTTACGATCTCAGTTTTCTACAGATCCTGCAGCTGTTTTCAATCAAAAAAGCTCTAAAAATCCACTGTACGTTACCTACTCTTCAAACACCAGACACACAAAGTCATTTTAGTTAAATAAGTAATAATGTATTGTAATAATGTATAATAAGGAGGAGAGGCTAGGGCTCAGGAGGTAGAGCAGGTTACCCGCTAATCGAAAGATCGGCAGTTCAATCACTGGCTCCTCCAGGCAGCATGTCAAAGTGTCCTTGGGCAAGATACTGAACCCCGAAATGCCCCTGATGGCTGTTCCATCAGTGTATGAATGTAAGAAAGTGTAAAAGTGCTTTGAGTGGTTGCAAAGACTAGAAAGGCGCTATACAAATACAGAGCATTTATTTTTATCGTAGGATATGACCTGTGCATCAACCTGTGTCAAATCCACTGCAGGGTGTGAAGTTTTACAGTTAAATTACAGTAGCTCCTGTAAAGAGGCATTCATGTGGATGAAGTCACAACATTTTCTTTTCAACACTCCATAAAACCCTGAGCAAAGGAACATAATTATCACCATCAGGAGCACAAGATGGGTCTATTTTTAAAAGTGGTCTCTCTTGTCATTCCAATCCACATCAGATTTATCATATATCAGATAGTTGTAGAGAACAAAACCGTGTCTACCTCACCTTTCACTCCCTGTGTGTTATTGTGTAAGTTTCTCTAAAGTTTGCTGGTATTTGGCTTTGCTCCATGTGTCCTTAAAAGTATTCAGCCCCTGTTATTTAAACCAGCAGCCTAATGCTAACATTAAGGTAGAAATGTTAGACGAGATTCCCTGTAGTTCTGATTATACAGTAGCTGTGGTAATTTCTTTTCTTTTGTATAGCAGCTCCTTTGTGTAACATAAGTACTCATGGAAAGACCTCAGTGATTTATAACATATCTTTCTCTTAAAAAAAAAGAAAGAGAAACAGATGTTAAAAAATATTTTTCTAAGATAGAAGCATAACATAATATTACTTGTTGCAACTTCAATCTAAAAATATTGCTAAATAAAATAAAGCACTGACCCTAGTCATCAGGAAGTTGCTGCAACTTAGCAAGGACAGGAGTGGTTAACATTTTTTGGTTTTGGGTGAAATGTTACATCTCAGGATGGAGTGTAGGCCTAATGACCGTTTATCATCAGGTCAAATCTTGCCCAGTAATTTAGTTTAGGAACAAGTCTAATCACTTTCTGAGCGGTCTCAGCTGTAAGTTGTGTAAGTAGGATGGTGAACATGGTAAAAATTATATCTGCATGTTAGCGTTGTCAGCGTGACAACAGGGGTTTTATTCCTGAGAACACTTGCAGCAGTCAACATTTCCAGCTCAGACATCTAAAAACACTTCTGCAAAACAAGAAGTGGTTGAATGTCAAACTCACTGCCAAGAGGCACATTGTTACCAACAAATTAGGGAAACTGTAACTGTGTAAACTGTGAAATAAACTGTGTGAGAAGGTATGCCACCAAGTAGCACTGTTCCAAAATGTTTGAGTGTGGAGGTCAGAGCGTCCATGGAGTTGTGCACATTCTCCCATCAACATTTTTCAACTTTTGACACGGTGGTGAAGGCATCTTTCAAACGCTGGTTTTTAAAACATCTCCTTTGCTGCCAGACCCGATGTTGCTTTTTGCCATGGATACCAATCAACGCTTTAACCACGGCTTCTTAAGCCACTTAATTACATTACCTCAACTCGAAGCAGGTGGCATCTGTGTTTTTCCTTGATGTTGCCTGTCAAGAGCGAAAACAAGCAGGCAGTCATAGGCAAACATGTGTGCCACATATCCAGTGGTTTGTCAGGAGGACCCGATTGATGCAACATCCATGGAAGGATCCATGCCACATTGAACAAACATGTTTCTGTGGTTTGATTATTAACTCTTCAGATTTATTTGTGCAAATAGACCAAATGCACAGAATGACATCTTACTGTGCATTCAAACTAAATTTAATCCTCGCGGGGGTTTTATCGCTGGACAACTGTCAAGTGTTCACACACAACGCGATAACGCGAATAAACACAACCTGCGATTTCAAAGTAAACATTTTGCTGTGATTAAATAGCAATAAACGAATCAAACTGATGCCAAAATAACATAATAATATGATGCAGATTTGTTAAACATAGGAATTCTTCAACAACTTTTAAAATGTTTTCTGAATGGAGTCTGGATCAATCAGAGCTATGCTATGCTAACTTTTTCACAGTAAAGTACAATGATAGCTGGAATACATACACATATTTTCTGAATTCACCAGGTAGTTCAACTTCCTCGTTTATTTTCTCTAAGCAACGTCAAGTTGCGTCCGGTTTTTAAATATAAAGTAGTAGTCCAACAGAGCTCTGGGTGCCAACCAGCCAACAACAACATCGGAACCGGCTGCCAAGAAGCTCCAGTGAAAATAAATCAATGTTGTAATCCCAAGAACTAAAGTAAAAAGCTAATTTCATGAAAGCAGTTTACTCTGACCTCTTCCCGTGGGTAGACGGTGTAGCTGTCAGAGCACAATCCAGTCCGACTACGGGAGTTTATTTGTCCAAAAGCTGCAGCGCTGCTCTGTCCTTAACTTCTCCCCACAGCAGCTCTCAATCAGCCAGCAGCGTTTCACTTCAGCCTGGTCAGCCTGCGTTCGCTCAGCTTGGCCCTCTCCAAACAACGCTCTGAAGCCATCGGTGACGTCCGGACAATCTCAACGCTGATAGGCTATCGCTACTCAGCGTCATTTGCATTGACTTTGCATGTAAAGCCACTGCCCCCCACTCTCGCTTCAATTTTGGTCTGATAGCACCATTAATCAGGACAACTAAAGAAAGACGCAGTTCCACTCTTTACTTATGGATGTATATTTCACATTAACAGAAAATGTTGTCTCTTATAGCAACTGATACTTCAATAACAATGTCATTATAAATATGTATTCAAAAACACAGTGAAACTAGTATAACAGTTACAGAGTGATAGCCAGTACTAATATACAGCTAGCGTTTAATTAAATTACATAGTTTACATCTTTTGATAACACTGCATAATATTATTTCTGTGCTGCATGTGACCTCCCTCAGCAGAGGCTGTTCTTGGTCAGATGTCCACGACACAGCCTGGAGCGTTGGCTCTTATAGCATCAGATATGACTTTTGCCCCAGATTCTCCAATGCCATTTCCCTGCAAACTGCAAAAACAAACAAACAGTTTCTCTGTGACAGAAACACACAATCAGAAACAGTAAAGTGTATGTATGTAAGAGAAAATATGTGAGATGCAAAAAAAAACCCTCACTTGATATATGTCAACTGGTGGTTTCCCTTCAAGGCCGTTGCAATGAATATGGCTCCATCCATACCCAGAGAGTTCTCCTGCAGACTGATGATACGGACAAACCAGTTTTTCTTAATCAAACGTCCAGTGATTTAAGTATAAAGTTTTTATTTTCACATGCAATAAACTAGATTTGGCTGAACATTTGTTCCTCAAACAAAGGAAGCCCAGTACAGTACAGTGCTAGAGTTCAAAAGTCACTGTTAGTTTACAAACATGAGGAATAAAGCTTGATCGTTGGTTGAGTAGATTAGTGAGAGACCGTGTTGGCTGTATCTGTTGTCAGACTTGTAAGAAGATTGCTACCTTATGATCAGTGATAAAAAAATGTTTGGCCAGACATACCATATCTAGAAAGTTGAATCTTAACAAAGTGAAATACATTTGAATTGGGAGACTGTAATCTTAAATAATACAAAATGCAAACGAATATGCCATTGCATTCAATGTCACGTGTCTGTTACAGATGCAATATAATACATCTTTTTTTCAAATGTGTTCTCTGTGGCAAAGTAGGTCAAATAGACAGTATGAAACAAACTCAAGTAGTAATTAGGGTGTCCCTACTGTCAACAGCATTAATAGTTGATCAATGTTTTCCAAACTGAGCAAATATTTTGGTTAACATGGATCACAATATGCTACAGTCAGGACTTACTTCAACGACTTGAGGCTTCTGTTGCTTTTCAATGCGTTAGCCAGAGCCTTCGCTCCTTTCATCCCTACGGTGTTCCCACGTAAACTGAAAAAGTGGAAAATGTGCTAACATTAAGAACAAAACACAACAATAGGTTTACATAAATAACAACAATGATGTGTATCAACAACGAAAGATATACAAGAGGTTATTATTATATTAGATGATATACATTAGAGATAATATATATATATTTTAATAAAGGCATTGTATTTATTTATTTACTTGCTTGCTTAGTATTTATTATCTATTTATTTATTTTCTTGAATTATGGTCCCTTCTTGGTCCATGTATTGTTACCTGTTTATTTGCTGCTTTGCTCTGGGGCCCAAATGCTTATATGTTGTCATTGACAGGGTTTTTGAATGTTGATTGATCGTAGTTGTTGTTTGGGGACGGGGATCAATAAAGTTGTTTGAATTGAATTAAAAGGAGTCAGAGACACGACTGAATACTGAGGAGAACTCTTTTTGAACCAGATCTGTCTCTCGCTTTATGCCTCTTCCTTTTAGTGTTGTAATAACACAGGGTGAAATCTTAAAAATTGGTCCTTCACCAGGACTGGGGAATTTACAATAAGCTCCCTTGTGTTTGCATAATGGAAGAAATTGTAGCGGTTCACAAAGAGTCACACCCCTCTTCTGGCTTAGGTTCTGTTCTACCAGCCTTCAGCTCACAATGTGGCTTCTTTTGTTCTTGTGTTTGAAAACCTGAAACATGATACAAAGTATTTCATTGTCTTTTTTTCCTATTGTTATTACCTAAATACTGAAATACATTTTAATTTCAATCCAATTTAACTTTCCATTATGATTGAAAGAAACCCTATATAAGAAAATACCTTGCCAGGCCAAGGCTGGTGCTCTAAGCGTAGTACAGAAAATGATGTCTGTCTCAAACAAACACCTGTGCAGCTTTGCCATAACCACAATCAGGCAAGTTAAATTGAATGCTAGCTGTGTCAGGCTTAAATAGGCAAACAAATTCACATCCCAGTAACAAGCCATTTCCTTCTATTACTCTATCTGAAAAACATTTGCATCAGATTTTGATTGGTTAGACCTGGATGTTTTATGCAGAAGCATTTATTGAATCTTGATCAAGGAGAACAGATCAGCAATACAAGTGAATCACTGTGTATTGCCACCCAATTCTGAAGGATGCTTTCAGGCGGGGAGTATTTAACCCTTATTAGACTTTTTGAGATTCACCGTGTGTCCAAGTACGGTTATTCTTCACCTAGCTATCTATATATGTGTGAAGCTGCTATTGGGTTTTGGATCCTAAACAAGAAACTATGCTTACCTAAGTCATGTTGCATGTCACTTAGGTCACATACAGAGCATTATTTTTAAGGGGAGACGGAGAGTTTTAGCCTGAAGAAGGAAAATTCCTCACACTACTGAGGAACAAGACTGACCTTTAAATTGAAATTGCATGATGACTGTTATTCAGTATAAGGCTGAATGTCAAATAACAAAGGAACAGTCAGACACAGAGAGCGAAGTTAGACTCACTCTAATGTTTGCAGGGTTTGGTTGGTCATTAGAGCCTCTGCCATTGCAATGGCACCGGTTGTGCCTGCTGAGACTCCCTGAAGACTAAAGAGACAACACACAGAACAGTGAACCCATGAGAAAAATGTGAATAGTAAACAACAAAAAAGCCTCTGTTCAATCAAAACTTTTATGTAAATGTATATTTATATGTATGTGCTTAAAAACTGACTTCTGTCATCACTTTTCATCTATTTGAACTTCATAATAATAATATTCAGCAATCACTGTACACAATTGCAATGCCTACCATAATGTACATAGAGATGCGTTGTTTTTCAGGGCTTCAGCAAGAAAAATGACGCCTTCATTCCCAATAGCATTCTCCTGTAGACTGCAGCACAAGATGCAGACACAAGCACACAGACACAGTGACCGTTAGTAGTAACAATACAACCCAGTGATTGAAATGTAACATAACTGTTTAGCAGTTGGTAAGACCACGGTCAATCCTGTAGCCATTTGTTCACAGTAATGTGGTTCCTTAACAGAGTACAGCTTTGTCATTATTTTATTAATTTAATTACAGAGAAAAGAAGTGAGTGAAATGAGGCCAACATAGTCAGAAATCTGAACTATTGTCCTTACTCCAAGAGCTGCATTGTGGCATTGGAGTGGAGAGCATGGGCCAGAGCTTTAGTGGCAGAGGACTTGATGAAATTCCACTGGAGACTGAAAAGAGAAAGAGAGGCACATACGGTCAACTATGAGGCAAAAACTGCATATGTTATTTTTTATATGTCACAAGCTTTAACAATAAATGTAAGTATACATTAATGATAAAAGTATTGTGTTCTCTTGTGATCTTTAAACCTGCATTAATGGATTTTTGTCGACCTCATGGGGGCAGAACAACAAGCTGTAAACACAACATTGGCAAATTATGAACTTTTAAATCTGATAAGGTAAAAATGTGATAGCAAAGAGAGGCTTGTTTACATATCGAGTAAGGTACAGCAAATAGCTTTCATCTGAAGTTATGTTTCAGACAAAAATAGGTTTAACATATTAAAATGATAATTTTTCTGTTTTTGGTTTCCACAAATTCTTTAAAAAAAAACTTAACTTCTAAATGTTCCACTATGTTCACTAGCTAATTGCTAAGTTTAACTGTCTGCTGTTTGGTGGCAGGAAACATAAAGTGGGTTGTCAGCGCTTCTTTTAAAAACTGAAAACAGTTGCCTGAAGTGGTTAAAAACAACACTGAAGAGAGCGGTGAGAGAACTCCAAACTAGTAAACTTTCTGTAAAACAAAAACAGTACGTTAAAGAGACTAAAACACTAAGTAGAGCAGAGGGGATCTGCAGAGTAGCGTGATATTTCTCTGTGGATTCATTAGCACAAGCGTCACCTATGAAAAAATTAACAGAATTTGCTGCGCATGCGCAAACATACTCTAATTAATGTAAATGGTGTGCCACTACTTAACATACAACAAATCTTAATAGCCACCTCAAACATCCTCTAGAAAAAATGCAGCAGGTATTTAAGAAATAAGCAGTCAGGGATGTGATTTTCCAACCTGCATGATGTACACAATAAATGCACAGCTGAGACGATGAGGCTTCAGCTAGGGACAACCATATTTTGACATACTGAAAATACATCCAGACATATACACTCACCTAAATGATTATTAGGAACACCATACTAATACTGTGTTTGACCCCCTTTCGCCTTCTAAACTGCCTTAATTCTGCGTGGCATTGATTCAACAAGGTGCTGAAAGCATTCTTTAGAAATGATGGCCCATATTGATAGGATAGCATCTTGCAGTTGATGGAGATTTGTGGGATGCACATCCAGGGCACGAAGTTCCCGTTCCACCACATCCCAAAGATGCTCTATTGGGTTGAGATCTGGTGACTGTGGGGGCCATTTTAGTACAGCGAACTCATTGTCATGTTCAAGAAACCAATTTGAAATGATTGGAGCTTTGTGACATGGTGCATTATCCTGCTGGAAGTAGCCATCAGAGGATGGGTACATGGTGGCCATAAAGGGATGGACATGGTCAGAAACAATGCTCAGGTAGGCCGTGGCATTTAAACGATGCCCAATTGGCACTAAGGGGCCTAAAGTGTTCCAAGAAAACATCCCCCACACCATTACACCACCACCACCAGCCTGCACAGTGGTAACAAGGCATGATGGATCCATGTTCTCATTCTGTTTACGCCAAATTCTGACTCTACCATCTGCATGTCTCAACAGAAATCGAGACTCATCAGACCAGGCAACATTTTTCCAGTCTTCAACTGTCCAATTTTGGTGAGCTCTTGCAAATTGTAGCCTCTTTTTCCTATTTGTAGTGGAGATGAGTGGTACCCGGTGGGGTCTTCTGCTGTTGTAGCCCATCCGCCTCAAGGCTGTGCGTGTTGTGGCTTCACAAATACTTTGCTGCATACCTCGGTTGTAACGAGTGGTTATTTCAGTCAAAGTTGCTCTTCTATCAGCTCGAATCAGTCGGCCCATTCTCCTCTGACCTCTAGCATCAACAAGGCATTTTCTCCCACAGGACTGCCGCATACTGGATGTTTTTCCCTTTTCACACCATTCTTTGTAAACCCTAGAAATGGTTGTGCATGAAAATCCCAGTAACTGAGCAGATTGTGAAATACTCAGACCGGCCCGTCTGGCACCAACAACCATGCCACGCTCAAAATTGCTTAAATCACCTTTCTTTCCCATTCTGACATTCAGTTTGGAGTTCAGGAGATTGTCTTGACCAGGACCACACCCCTAAATGCATTGAAGCAACTGGTTGATTAGATAATTGCATTAATGAGAAATTGAACAGGTGTTCCTAATAATCCTTTAGGTGAGTCTATAGTGGTTGCGCTTACAGATCCTGAATATCATAGAAGACTGGACTATTATACCATATGCGGAGGTCTGCATATGTGTGTGTGCATGCATTTGCATTACACTATTCACTTACTGCAAAGAGGTGAGGCCTTGATTGAACTTGATTGCGGCAGCTATAGCTTGAACCCCTTCATCATGCAAGAGATTGGCTGTGAGACTGAAATACATGCACACAAAGACACAAATACACAGTAAATACAGTATAAAAAAACACAGAGTAAAAGAGAGAGAATGCTCACTGAAATACAAGTTAGTTGTTACTGTAGCGTCAGACTTACTTATTTAAGTTATGTGTAATTTTAAGTCTGTCACTGCTTTTGCAATATGTCGGCTTTCAAGCTGATAACGCGTTGCTTTATCTACACTTCATTTAATTGGGTAAGGGTGCTTTTTATCATAAAAACTGGAGCTGATTAATGCTGCAAATGTTAAACTGTGAATATCACCATATTTCTTTCTTCAGCCACAGTGTTCATATAGTAAGGTCATGGGCTTTACATGTGTTTTCATCATAGACTGTAGACCGTCTTGCCCACCTATGGTCACTTCCGGTGCCGCTGGTTGCAAAAAATCAACATGGTGGCGCCCTATCGCCCAAACTCGATGCTTCAAAAAGGCAGTCCAGAAACCAACGGGTGACATCACGATGACTATGTCTACTTCTTATATACAGTCTATGGTTTTCATCAGAAAATAGTACTGAGTGACATTCCATGGGGAGTGACATTTTCTGAACATTAGGATATTTCAATGCCTCTACGGGGCATTACACTATGCACTGATATTAATGAGGTGACTCACTCGAGGTCTTGTAGAGAGTTGTTTTCATGGAGGGCTTGGGCCATGTTCTTTGCTCCCTCCACCCCAATTGAGTTCTCCCTTAAACTAAGTAAGTAGAAAAATACATGAAACACAAAAGGGGGAATAATATATAAGAAGAATATAACAAATTTCCAAACAATCTCAATGCCAACAATCGCACTAGTAGCACCTTTACAAAAAGTATAGTGTGATATTTTGGGAAATAGACATATTTGCCTTTTTTTGAAAGAGTGAGATAAAAAGACTGATACCACTCTCATGTCTGTAAATGAAGCCACACCCAGCAGCTGCTTCGCTTGGCTTAGCATTGATTGCATGAAGACATGAAACACGGGCAAACAGGTAGCCTGGCTCTGTCCAAAGGTCACAAAATCTCCCTACCAGCAGTTCTAAGCTCTAAAGCTAAGCTAACATGCTGCTAGTTGTAGCCAGTTAAAGTAAAAATTCTGTTCCAGATATAAGAAAAACTCACTGATGTCTATAATAACGCAAATAATTATAAGATAGGGATGGTGATTTTAAACACCATTTCCCAAAAGAGGAGAGCCCATTGTGAGTCCATGGGCTCTGGCTAACGTTCTGCCATGTCTGCAGGACAGAGAGGACCAAACTGTGTAAAACAGAAAGCTGAGATTACAGCTAAAAAGTGATAGTGTTTTATGTTTGTGGAGGATAACCAAGTATATGTACATGTATATGCAAAATTGAATTTTTTGGGACAAAAATTTAACAAATTAATGTTGTTTAATTTTGTTAAATCATGAAGATTTCAACTTATTTATAGGCCAACAACAGAAATGAGTTACAGAAGCTAGCTCAGACCTGATGTCAAAGTTTTCTTTATTTACCTGACAAATATCGAAGGGGTATCAGTCCTTTCATCAAACTATGAGAAAGCGAATAACGTAGTTCCCTCAAACTATTACTTAAAAGAACTGGCTGTAATCTGATAAGGTTGACTCAGGTGAAGAAAACATGAGAGGGCACTCTTCATAAGCTGATCAGAGGTGTCTTGGCCAGTGATTAGCCACTATTACGTCACTAAGTTTAGAAATATTTTGTTGCAGGATCAAGTCATAAATGACATTAGTTTTGGGTTGTTACAGGAAAGCTACCAGCTAAAATTGAGAAGCTTCAAGTTCAATACTCACTTCAAGGAGACAAGGCCACAGTTTAGCCGAAGTGCTTTGGTTAAGGCTGTCATCCCCCTGTTGCTGATTGAATTACTCTGAAGTCTGCCCAAAGAAGTGAAGTTAAACACAAGCGCAATGAAGGACTTGCACGACAAATTGCATCATTGACTGACAATGTTAAAATGGATTAGCAGTTTTTAATATAAAGGTTGATAGATAATGCGGAGGCTACAGTGCACTACTATGCAGAAAGTACTGACTGAAGTGAGAGCAGAGTGTGGTTGACTGTCAAAGCCTCTGCCAGAGCGATTGTTCCTTTGTCCCCAAGCTGGTTGCTACAAAGACTACAGACAAGAACAAAAAATTTGAGACACATTAAGCTATCTTACCACAAAGCCTAGCCTATTGTATGAATAATTAAAGCAACAAGCAATATAGTGAATGAATATATTCATTTAAGATTACTTCAGCTTTGTGAGAGTCCGGTTTGTCTTCAGTGCATCTGCAATCCTTTTGGCTCCTCCTGCTCCAATCGTATTCTTCTGCATACTAAATCATGACATGCAAGAAAATAATTCTTGTTAATCCTCATCATGAGCATGAACGTAAACTATACATAGGACATGCAACAACCACAACTGAAAGTCACTCACTTCAGAGACACCAGTTTGCGGTTGCACTGCAGTACTTCTGCAAGGGCCTGAGCACCTTCCTCCTCAATGGCATTGTTCTGGAAGCTGATGAGTGGTTAGGGAAATTAAACAATTAAATTTTTTAGGAAAAGGTTAGGTAATTTTTAACACTATAAACCAAAATCTATGGCAGTTATACGCACTTGACTGATACCAGGGCTTGGTTCATTTTCAGAGCCTCTGCCAGGAACTTCGCACCTTTAGAGCCGATGTTGTTGTTCCGGAGACTAAATAAGAAATAGGTTTTTAGATGATATATAGCTAGGTAGAATCAAAATAGAAACACCATGTTGCGATGTATCTGCGTGTGAAATATGAAGACAAAGATCATAAGAATTGCAGCAATTTGGGGAAATAGCGAGACACACAAATTGTGACATTTATTTGTGGAATCTGCAGTATCTGAGACAAAATTGTTATCTAAAGAAATGCTCAAATTAAATTCAGGGGACCAATATATATGTTGAAAAGTAAAAGGCTGAGAGTGAATGCTATGTTTCTCCAAAATAACTGTAAGTCAATGCTATTTTGGAACTTGTAATTTTGGCATTATTTGATTGTACACAGACTACAAAGTATTCATGCTATAGACATGAGCATCAAAACGTTCACAAGATGTATGTTAAACAAATGATTGCCCAGCATTTTTAAACATCTATTATTTGTATAGGCTGCAAGCAAGCAAAGACGGCAGCTGTAATCAGTCAAAGTCAACAAACAGATCTCACTTGAGAGACGTTAGCGTCCGGTTCACCAAGAGGGCTCGACTCAGGGCTTTGGCACCTTTGTTGCTGATGGCATTCTCTGCCAAACTGAGGGGGTATAAAAGAGGTTGCAATCATATGATACTAAATATTAACGATAATCACATTCATTATCATCACTGCACCGATCCTACTACCACATGATAATCACTGAGTGTCTCTTACGTCCTTGTAATCAACAAGGCAAACACTAACTCATAATTAAAAAGTTTCACTTTATGTGAGCAATTAGGCAAATATTTCTCTAACAGAGCATTAGACTATAAAATGTTCTTCATCTGATGCTTTAAATCAATGAGGATTTACAAAGTAAGTGTAATCATACCTTATCTTCTGGATATGGCAGTCTTTGGCACTGAGGAGGCTTCCCAGCAACTCCATGACATCATCTTTGAAATGATTGTTCTCTAACCTGTGGAGCAGATAAGTTATATGTTTCACCCCTCAATCTTTCTCCTGAGTTTTAGCTTGTTGGGAGACAGTGCTTTGGGGAGCTGACCTGAGATGGCTGCAGTACAGCAGCTGTGGGAGCAAACATTTCACTGTCGCGTAGTTCAGTGAGCCTGTTAAGTTGGTCTGTTCGCCGCACTCTGGA